CTGCGGAGGCCGCGGGGCCGTGCCAGAAGGGCGGCCGTCGGGCGCTGCCTACAGACGTTGACCGAAGGAACCCTAAAGCAGGAACGAGGCCCCTTTTTCCCATGAGATAAACTTCGATGTCCCATCGAAAACCTAAGGAAAACCTAAGGCAAGCTGTGAAACAATCAAGGGTCACGAAGCCCCTCCCCAACGAAAAGGGTTCCTTCTTCAGCGCCCCGACTGTACGGCTGGCGTTGGAAAGGATGTGTTCGGGGGCGCGCAAGCATGGATTAGCAACGATCCATGGATTCGGCGCGGGGTCGCCAAATCCATGGGTCGGGGGAAGTGCACTCCCCCAAACGCGGACGGTGCCGCCTCGTTCGGCGGCGGAACTCCGCGATTTCCCATGGAAACGGGACCCGTCGCTAATCCACGCTTCCTTGATCCATGTTTGCGACCGCCTGAAGAAGGGCAGTCGTCGGGCGCTGCTTACGGCTGGCGTTGGAAAGACTGTATAGCAGCGAGATCGCTTGAAGGCTCGCTCGCTTCGTTAATATCGACCCGAACGCAAGGAAGCGGTGCACAGAAAAACCTCCAGCCAAGACAAGATAACGTTGAAAAGAGAGCGCGCAACATCGATCCCCGAAAAGTACGCTGCCCCTGTGAGGCGATCCCCCCGCGAGGGTTTCTTCGGTGCGCGCTATCCCAAAGGTGGGGGATAGCGTGTGATAAGCGGGCTGGCGGCGCCACATCCCACGCGACATTTTCAACGCCAACCGTACTCGGGGGCAATACACGGAACGACGAGCGAACAAACAACCACTGCGGACAATCGTTTGGGCCTGCCTGAGACCAGGTAGGGGAGGCCATGAGCTCCTGGAACATACAACCATGCAGCATGGCTGCGAGACAAATCGACAATTCTTCACGCTTCGCGTATACCCGCCAATCGCCCCGCTTCTCGGATCTGTCCCTGGAGCCGTCCATCAAAAAGTATACCCATCAATTTGCTTTGTCCGCCGACTCTGGCTGGCGGCAAATTGTCTTGCAAATTAGCCCCGTACCGTGACCCGGACGCCGCTTCCGCTCCCTGTCCGTTGCCTCGGAGCCACTGACCAAAAAGTATACCCATCAGCCCATTCACATGTAGTGAAACACAGCGGACAACCAGGGTGAACAGAGAGATCTCTGGGAGTAAGGGGGTGGCTTTGGAGAGCCTATTCGGGCCATCCCTGGGGCCCGTGTGGGGGCGAGGGAAGGAGGAGGATGAGGAGGAGGAGGAGGCGGACGACGACGACAACGACGACGACGAGGAAGAGGAGGAGAATGAAAAGGAAGACGATGAGGGCAAGGATGAGGGCGAGGACGAGGACAACGAGGACGAGGACAGAGCCCTCAAAATCGCATCTTGTAGCCCTCTTGGGACTCTTTTGGGGGATCTTAGGGTCCTCTTGTGGCTCTTTTGGGTGGTTTTGGGGCCGTTTTGGGGCCGTCTTGAGGCCCTCTTGGGGGCCCTGTAGGGCTTCTTGGGGTCTATATTGAGCCACCTTCGGCTATCTTGAGCCACCTTGGAGGCCATCTTGGAACATCGGAGGCCCACTTGCAGCCATCTTGGGCCATCCTGGGCGCCCTAACTTATCGCGGCCCCCCCCCCGAAACAAAAAAATAAGGGAGGGGGGAGATAAACCTCCCGAAGGGAAGAGGGTTTTGGGACAAGACAAGAAAGATATCGCTCGACCAACTTAGCCCAAAAGGCTGGTGGGATTAGCTTGGCGAAGAATCCAACCCTCTCTAAAAGAAAAACGACTATAAACGGGACCGCTCAATCAGCAACAACGCGTTGAAGGATCTGCAACATCCTTGACATCTTCGCTAAATGCAGCCAGACCGCTTGAGGGGTGCGCCGAAACGGGCGGGGGGACGCTATGCGAGCACGCCCACTGGGGCCATTAGGTGCAGGTCCCTGAGGGACACGGCACGTGTGAGGGGTGTGCCGAAATGGGCGGGGGAACGCTATGCGAGCACGCCCGCTGAGGCCATAGGTGGAGCTCCTTTGGGGGCACGAAGCGTGTGAGGGGTGTGCCAACATGTGCAGGATGACGCCATAGGAGCACGCCCGCTGAGGCTATGAGCGAAGCTCCCTGGAGGGCACGCAGCGTGTGAGGGGTGTGCCGACCTGCGCGGGGGGGCGCCATGCGAGCACGCGCACTGAGGCCATAGGTGGAGCTCCCTGGGGGGCACGACACGTGTGAGGAGTGCAGGAAGGCGGACAGGAGGGGAGGTGGATGAGGTAGGAGGAGGAGGAGGAGGACGAGGAGGAGGAGGAGGAGGAGGAGGAGGAGGAGAAGGAGGAGGAGGAGAAGGAGGAGGAGGAGGAGGAGGAGGGGACGCGCGGCGCTGCGAACTCAAAACGAGGACCCAACACACACAGGAGGGTTGGGAACAAACAACACGCAAGGGAGAAGAAAGGTGCACCTTTTGTGCACCTTCGGGGCAGTAAACAGGGCGGGGGGAGAAAGGTGCATCTTTCGTGAACCTTCTGGGGCTCCTTTCCTGTAAAGCCCTCGATGCCCCCCCGCCCACTGATCGACCCCCCGTTGCGAAGCGCCCGAGATGTGTGCACGCCGGCGGCTCGGGGGGCGACGGAGACGGGGGCTCCGAACGGGACGCTTCGGGACACCCTGACCCAGACATGCGACGTCCTGTTTTTTTTTTCAGTGCGGGTTCCCTGGAAGTCCCGACCGACCCTTTCCCCGGGACAGGCTTTTCTTCCCCAGCCGCCCTTTGACGCTCCCGAGGCCCGACGAGGGCTCCCCGATGCCGAGCACGGCAAAAAACCTCCCGCCCCGATGTTGCTCACGATGCGAGCGGGCCTGGGCCCCCAGAGGCCGAAAACGGCCAAAAACCTCCCGTCCCCATTTTTGTCCCGGCGCGGTGCTGTCGGGGAGCTTCGCGCCACAGCGCCCCGCGCTGCGCGAGGGTCCCTCGCGCTCTCGCGCCGTCCCCCCGGAGGAGGCGGGCTCGGCGGCGCGCGCCGCGCGTTGAACCCTTTGCGCCCCATGCGATGGAGGGAGGGGAGGGAGAGGCAGAAGGGGGGGAGTGGCAGGGATGGAGGGAGGGAGCGCGAGACATGGGGTGCCGTGGAAGGAGAGAGGCGGAGGGGGGACTGGGAGAGGGGGAAGCACTGGGAGGGAGGACTGCGGCGGAAAGGGGCAGGAAGTAAGGGAGAGGGGGCGAGGAGGGAAGGAAGGGACGGGGCGTGGGCGGCATGGAATCGGGGATGCGCCTGCGCTGGGATGGGGAAGTGATAAGTGGCGGAGAGCAAGGGCTGAAATGTGGAGAACGTGGGGAATTGGAGCCAACCTCAGTGTTCAAAACCCGCACCCGCCCGACTGGGACAGATCCGCCGCATCGCACAGACACCAAAACAGAACAGCAGAGGAAGAGAGGATGGAAACAAACGGAGGCGGACAGGACCAACCGATAGTGGACAAGAAAGAAGAAGGAACACCACAAATTAGCCTGGCGAAGGACCCAACCATATGCAGTTGTGAATACCGCAATTGTGAATATCTTCTTCGGTGACGTTCCCTATGGGGCCACGAGCCTCACGAGGGGTGCGCCGAATAGCGTGGCGGGGTACAATACACGAGCGAAGACGATAGGTCTGACTACGAGAGACTGAGCGCGGGTGAGTCTGAGCGCGAGTGAGTCTAAGTGTGAAGGAGTCTGCGCGCGAATGAGTATACTTGCATGAGTGCGAGATTGGCCACGCCTGGTGTATACAAACACATACAGTGTATACACACATTCCTTATACCTACGAAAATACAAGGGAAAACCCCACAGGTCACCGACCCCCCCCCCACATACCCCCCACACGAACGCTCCAGAGGCTCTCATTTTCCCTGTGTTTTTACACGGTTTCGGCGTTCCGGGGCGGACATGGGCCCCGACAGACTCGTGGGTCGCTCCAGGAGGCCGACGAGGTCCCCACGACAGCTCCAAGACGACCCAGAAGCCTGCCACACGAGTCTCCAGATGGCTCCACAGAGCTCCACAAACGCTCATGAGACGCCCAAGACAGCCCCAGAGCCGCCATCCCTCCCCCGCACACACCCAACATATGCGTTCCAGAGAACATCATTTTCCCTGTGTTTTTTTACACGGTTTCGGTGTTCCGACGCGGGCATGGGCCCCGAGAGATTCGTGGGCCGCTCCAGGAGGCCGACGACGTTCGGAAGACAATTCCAAGACGGCCCAGGAGGCTTCCCAGCGAGCCTCCAGATGGCTTCAGAGAGCTCTCAAAAAACTCCTGCGGCGCCCAACACAGCCCCAGGGCGGGCCTTCCCCTCCCGAAATACCCCCTGCTCATGCTTTCCAGGAGGCTCCCAGGATGGCTTCACCCGACCCAAAGCATCCGTAGCCGCACACCAGACACCCAGGGAACCAGAATTTGATGTCCATTGAGCGTTAAGCCGTCCATCTCTTACTCCACCTCTCCCCCTGGCCCCCGCCCCGCTCTTCCCTTTGATTCCTTCGACAACCGCGCGATTTTCCCGCGCAGTCCAAAGCCACCCCCTGCATTCAAAGAGGACCCTCCGTCCCCCCGTCTCACACGCACCCCAGGACAACCAGCCCCTCCTGTGGCCTCCACCTTTCAGAGGCGCCGAGGACGCCCGCACCCGACCCGACGGACACAGGGCACCCAGAGAACCATAATTTGATGTCCACTGCGCGTTGTCCCGTCCATCCCCTTCAACACCTCTCCCCCTCGTCCCCGTCCCGCTCTTCCCATGGGGTCCTTCGTTAACCGCACGACGCTCCCGCGCAGTCCTACTCCCCCCTCCCTCACTCCAAAGAGGATCCTCTCCTCACAACCCCTCCCATGCTCCAAAGACGCCCCCAGGACGCCCGCACCCTACCCGAAACACCCGTAGACGCATGCCCGACACCCAGGGAACCAGAATTTGATGTCCACTGCGCGTTGCGCCGTCCATCCCCTTTTCCCTTCTCCACCT